AGGTAGTGACTTTGCCATAACCAGCTGAGTTCTTATGATATATTTCTGCGGCCCGCAAGAGTAGATTAGATCTAGAGGCTTGATGTGATTCTGTTTCTATTTTGGGAAAGAATTAAAGAAAGAAGAGACACAGATGTTTAAAGGCTACACTTTGCTTGGTCTATTTTTACCTGGCATATAACTTCCTATTTAAAGCTCCTCCTGAGATGTCGAAAGCCATCCACTTGCTGAAGACTCTACATTCATATTTTGGGTTTATATTTCTCCCAGGCATCATGGGGAGGTGGAAACTTGACCTGGGTGCCTAACAGATATCTCAGAGTGGATATGTCCAAAGTGGAGCCTTGGGTCGCACTTCCAATGTGTGGCTCACATTTTCCCTATCACAAATGGCTCTAAGTGAAAACCCACAGCCATTTCTGAGTCCTCTCTTCCACTAACCGCCCCCCCCCCATCACCAACTCCAACCGCTGTTGGGTTTACTTCATCTGCCTGTCCTTATTTCTTTTTTGTTTGTTTGTTTTTGTTTTTCGAGACAGGGTTTCTCTGTGTAGCTTTGGAGCCTGTCCTGGAACTCACTCTGTAGACCAGGCTGGCCTCGAACTCACAGAGATCCACCTGCCTCTGCCTCCCGAGTGCTGGGATTAAAGGTGTGCACCACCACCACAGCCCGGCAGTCTGTCCTTATTTCTATGAATAATACCATCTTAAGGAAAATCTCAGCTACTGAGAAACAACTGAACTATTTCAGAAGTCTACAGCTGCACTACAGTCTAACGCTGGACACCTGCAGTCCACTCTCTACCAGGGACAGCGCTATCCACAATGAAATACTCATCAGGGTCGAGAAGTGATTGTGAGCTGTGTGGTGATTTAATCTCTGCCTTTTTGTATATGCTCAACATTTTAAAAATTACTCTGATCAGTTATATATTCTTACTCTCCATGTTTGCTCTTGGATTGAAATCCAAATGTCAGACTGGAGATTCCAAGAGTCTTGTTGAGGACTCTTGGAAGAAGAGTCCTCTGTCTGTTTTCTGCCTAGATGCCCACCCTCCTCTGATGCCAGTCTTCCTCTTGCCCACAACTTTCGAAAAAACCCAAACTTAGCCAGGCAGTGGTGGGTGGCACACTCCTTTAATCCCAGCACTCGGGAGGCAGAGGTAGGCGGACTTCTGTGAGTTCAAGGCCAGCCTGGGCTACAAAAGGAGTTCCAGGACAGCCAGGATTGTTACACAGAGAAACCTTGTCTCTAAAAACAAACAAAACAAAAACAAAACAAACAAACAAACCCCCCAATTTTGGGTACATTAGGATGGTCCAGCAGTTAAGGGCATTTGCTACTCCCCAGAGGACCCAGGTTTGGTTCCTAGCACCCACATCAGGCAGCTGACAACCAACTTTACCAACTTTAACTCCAATTCCAAGGACTGGATGTCCCCTTCTGACCTCTGAGGACATGTGTATACCTGTGGTGCACACACAGACACACAGGCACACACTCACAAAATTACATTCAACATGGGAGTTGCTTGGGTATATTGACTAAAGGTAAAGTATGAAATGACGGATTGTATAAGCCATCCAATTTCTCTCAATTACTACTGATAAACTCAGAATCAGCCCTAGAATAAATTTATAAGGGCAGATTGACACAAGCCAGACACTGTGCCTAGGAGGAAAATCTGTCCAGGGTGAGCCTTCCATGATAGTTCAGCATTGTCTAAACACATTAAAACAAATGGTATCCCATACATGGGATGTGAAAATAAGAGTGAATATTCAGGATTCAAACACCAATGTAATGACTAAAACTTATGGGGGTGGGGAAAGAGAAATCTGAACAGAAAAGAATTGATAAATGTTGTTGTTAACAAATGACTGGCAAACCTACAGCCCACTGGACCTGAATTAACCATGGCACATTACCCTGATCCTACATGGAGGATACCTGAAAAAATATAACCCCCACACATCAGGAAAGCACTGCAGGAAAGCGGTGAGGGGGTCCCCAGGGTGTACCCAGGGAATCCAGGCCCCCAAACAGCCCTGTTTTGAAGTTATCTCTATGGAACTCGGCTCTCCATTTCTCAACCCTAAGACCTAAGATGTTAAAGGGGTCAGGCGTAGTCAGATATGAACAAATCCATCTTCTATGCTTGGGACTCAGAAAACAGCAGTGGACAGCTGACACAGAGCCAGGAGACCTGACAATGGTTATGGTCGGAAGCCAATCGGGGGAGTGGGAGGTGAGTTTGCAAGCACATACACTCATATACACACCCCTCTCTGTGAATGTGCATGTAGCGTCTTTCCTCTGCTGGTCCTTTTCCTGATGAGGTGTGACAGGATGCATTAGAAATGATGTCACACCAAAGGCAAGGCCGCCTAAGCCAAGCCAGGGAGCAGGGAGGAGCTGTGTGCCAGTCTTTGGAAGGATGCCTCTGATAGCACAGAACTTCAGAATTGGAAAGCAGCTTAAAGATCATGTAATAGCCAGGCGATGGTGGCACACGTTTTTAATCCCAGCATGGGAGGCAGTTTGAGGCCAGCCTGGTCTACAGCGTGAGTTCCAGGGCAGCCAGGGCTACACAGAGAAACCCTGTCTCAGACAAATAAACAAACAAACAAAAAATTCAAGTAATAATCCAAAGCTTTCTTGTACTGTTTTACTGAGTCAGTGTCTGGCTATACAGCCCCAGGCTGGCCTCACACTCAATAATCCTCCTGCCTCTGCAGCCTTTGTTCCCAAGCACACAGCCATGTCTGCCTGCTCACCAGGACCACAGTTATAAATGGGTGAGACTGAGGCTGTGATGTGTGGCCTCAAATATTCTTTCTCAAATATTTCCTAACTTGGCGGGGCAAATCTTACTTTACATCACCAACCTATTGTTTTCATTATAGTAAATCCTTTTGCTGTTTTTATTTTATTTTATTTATTTAATTATTTTGAGACCTCATCTCTGGTTGGCCTGGAATTCAATATGTAGACCAGGCTAGCTTTGGACTCACACAGATCTGCCTGCCTTTGCCTCCCCGGTTCTGGGATTAAAGGCATGTGCCAGCACACCTGGGCCTCTTGTTATCTTTTTGAGGCTGTCTTTTCAAATTATTATTTGCTGTTCCTGAGATAGCGAGGTTTAGTTTTCTTGCATTTAGTTTTTTTCCCCCTTAAAACCAACCAACACATCCAACTACTGGCAAATAAATGAAATATACATGTAGTTATGTTACACACACACACACACACACACACACACACACACACACACACACACGGTAAATGTATTATTTGCATTACCTTCAAGCATTACCTTAAAGTGTCCTTTGCCTTTTGGAATGCTAAGCTCAAGTTGGGTTAATATCTGCACGTTGTTCCATTTAGATTCCTTGAAAACTTGTAGAGCTGATGGTGTGAGTAAAAAAACGCTTTTAAAAAAAGGCGAACCTTATTTTCCCTCCTAAGTAGGTAATGCATGCTGTCAGCAGCATACTGTAAAAAGCCAAGAGCAGGCCACCTCCACCCCAGGCCTTATCTTCCTCTGCTGTCCTGGCTTACTTCCAACTTTACGATCTTCGGCCACCACCCACAGCACCAACCATTCCTTAAATTTTTTGTTTTGTTTTGTTTTTTCGAGACAGGATTTCTCTGTACAGCTTTGCGCCTTTCTTGGAACTCACAGAGATCTGCCTGCCTCTTCCTCCTGAGTGCTGGGATTAAAGGTGTGCACCACCACCGCCCGGCTAACCATTCCTTAAATTTTTAACTGTTCATTTATTTGCATATTTATTATGTGTGCATATGTGTGGAAGTCAGAGGACAACTTGTGGGAACTGGTTCTCTTTACTACATGGGTTCCAGGTTATCAGGCTTGGTGGCAAGCGACTGAACTGGCGAGTCTTAGATAAAAAGCTTTGCCCTCAGCTTTTAAGCATGTGAGAACTAAAGTTTCTCCAAGTGCGAGGCTGAATAGTGCTTAGTTTATCAAGTGTTTTGTGCATCAGTACTTAGAACCGACCCCACAACTGGCCACGGAAAAATCAGCTTCCTGCCGTTCTGAGATTCATGATGTACTGACCTCATTTCTCCTTGGCTCCCTCAGTTTCCCTAGCTGCTGCGGCCGACAGCCTAGCTTGCTTGTTCAATAACTGATCTTACCTCCTCCGAGTCCACTGTTTTAAGATATGACCATTAGATGAAAAACTTTGAAAAAAACTCACTTAATCCCCATCCCATCCCCAAGTCATTCTAAGCAGAAGAAATGTCTCCTTGTTTTTAAATGCAAGCACAGAGGGACTGGGGATGTAGCTCACGTTGGTGGAGTGCCTAAACCCAGCACAGAAGGCGGGCCCATGGCCTTCCACTGTCCTTGCTGGGCACCCTGGGATGGCGACACCCTCCCTCTCTACAAAACCCAGGGCTGGAATGGAAAATCCATTTCCCTGCATGGGCTCCGAACACAGCCGAACAGCTCCGGACGCCGGACCACGCCCCCGGCTCCGCCCCGGCCCCGCCCCCGACCACGCCCCCGGACCACGTGCTCCAGCAAACTCTCCTGCCGAGTTGGTCAGAGTGGGCCGCCGAGGTGACCCGAAGGTGATCCCGGGGTGGGCGGGGCGCCCGCGCTCTCGCGAGATCTCCCCGAGGGGGCGCGGAGCTGGCGAGGAGGACGCGGCGGGCGGCGCTTCCTTGGCTGCTCCGCTTGCAGTCGGCGGAGCCCGCCGAGCCCAGGTCTTCCACTTCCGCCGGCCGCTGCCAGGAGCGGAGCCCGGAGAAGTCGGCGGCCGCCCCGCAGCCGCGCGTCCGCCTCCCGCCCTCGCCTTCCCTCGGAGTCCAGCCGGCCGTCCCAGGCCCCGCTCTGCCGAGCCCGCAGCCCACGCCGCGGCCGACATGAGCTTCTTGTTGTAAGTAGCCCGGCCGCGCCGGCTTTGTTCTGCCGCCCCCTGGGCCGCAGGCTCCCGAGGCCCTGGCTCCCCGTCCTCCGTGTGCTGCCCGGCCCTGGTTCTCCGTCCTCCGTGTGCTGCCCGGCCCTGCCTCCCCGTCCTCCGTGTGCTGCCCGGCCCTGCCTCC